ATGCATGCTGTATGGTCATGAGCATTATTAGACAATGCTCTATTGTGAGCAGTCATGAAGGCATTTTTGAATGTACATGTACTAAACACAAAGCAAACAAATAATGCAGTAGCTATAACAAGCAATACACACATACACCAAAAAGGGACAAATTTACATTATGTCAAAACAAATATTGTGCTATCACTTAAGATAGCACAATATTTGTTTTGTGCTATCACTTAAGATACATGGTACCTAATAAGGTTTTCTTCCCGACTGCATCTCCCATGTGTGATCAGTCCTGTGTGCTCAATATTAGCAAGAACAACATAACTCTCTGAGTATACCTATAATTATAAAAATAATATGTACATGCACATCATACATGTTATAGCAGCTACCAAAAATGTAATTAACATAGTCCCCCTCTCTAGCTTTAAGAGGTTAATCTATACCAGCCAATTTCCAACTTGAGCTGGTACAAAAAAGATAGTTAATAGCCTGTTAGGATTATTAACCCCACCTATAATGACCACACTGCCTAATTCCTTCAATTTACTACATTCCATAAGTAGGTTCTACTTTCTTGTTTGCTCTTGCAATAGCTGTTGCTGGCATGTGATGGCTAAGTTGTCCATCAGGGCTAGGAAGAAGACTAGCCTTCTTAAAGTATTGGTAAAGCTATTTTTCTTACACCAGATTGAGTATGGCTGCATGTGTGGATTGAGTAATGCCAAGTCCAAATCTAAAATCAAAGATGCTAATATTTTAAGGTTCTATTTTTTTTGCAAGTGATGACCTAAACGGCAAAATATATAGTTCCCTTGAAAAAGAGGACCCATACCCATAGGGTATTTATTTTAAGAGTACCTGAAAAAGATATGCTGGTTAATCACATACACATGTACATGACTGAGTATACCTACAATTAGGAACTATATGTACATCATACAGTACTACCAGCTAGCAAAAATGTAATTAACATATCCCCTCTCTAGCTTCCAGAAAATTAATTCATACCTGCTAAACATGAGCTGGTGCAATGACGATAAAGTGTCTGCTAGGATTATTTACAATTTATGAACAACTCGATCCATTGAGAGTCTTCTTGTACCAGTATTCACAAAATGACCTTAATAATGATTCAGGAATAGTAGCAGATAATAACAACCTAAAGAGAGGAAAAGGAGGAGAAAGACAAAAGGAAAGAAATAAAAGAAGATGAGTGAGGGAGAATGGAAGAGAAAAATTGAAGGAATTAAGAAATAAAGAAAAAGAGAGCAAGAAAGATAGTGAAGATGCACATATTCATATACTGTACATAATAGTTATAGCACAGTAAAGAGTGCCGTTATCAGCCATATACAGCACTCTTTACTGCGCTATAATTAATTTATGGGATATAGTGGGCACATCAAAGGCGTCCGCCAAATGCACTCCTAGAGAAGTTCTCTCGAGTCTTCAAGGTTGAGACAAATTAAGCCAGCACAAACATTTAAAAGCTCGCAAGACAATTTTCTTTGCCACATAACACGGACTTGGCTGCCTGACGATCAATACAAGAACATCTCTGGGCACTGAAAGACAGCAAAATGCCGACAATGGTCGTAAAGGAGTGTTGTGAGTCTGTTTCGCAATAGGTAGAGCAGTTTCATTTCTTCTCTGGTCACAAAGAACTTCTCACCCAGTACTGCTAGCCATTGTGAAGCCAACCAACCGACACTAACTTCCGATGCTATACTAGTGCTGTATGCAATATAACGGAATAGGCGGTGCCTTTGATGCGCCCACGTAGTATACTATAAATGTACATAATACAAACTCAATAGAGGTACATGTAATGTACAAAGAGAAGATTTTCATAGTTTAACTAACCACACATATGTACCAACCATGTTCAATCAGTATCTTAGTCTTCACTAATACATGTACATGTAAGTCATGATAATTATTAGACAATGCTCTATTATGAGCAGTCGTGAGGGCATTTTGTATGTACAATTGTACATGTAACAAACACAAAGCAAACAAATAATGCAGTACCTTTACAATGGCTAAAGAGTAATACACACATATACATACTAAAGAAAGGGACAAATTTACATTACGTCACAACAAATATTGTGCTATCATATAAGATACATGGTACCTAATAAGGTTTTCTTCCCGACTGTATCTCCCATGTGTGATCAGTCCTGTGTGCTCAATAATAGCAAGAACAACATAACTATCTAAGTATACCTACAATAATTATAGAAATAATATATAAATGTACATAGTACATCACACATGTACATCATGTAATAGCAAATAACATATTCCCCTCTCTCTAGCTTTAAGAGGTTAATCTATACCTGCCAATTGCCAACTTGAGCTGGTGCAGTAAGACAGTTCATAATCTGCTAGGATTATTTACAATTTATGGATGACTAAATTAAGAGTCTTCTTGCACCAGTATTCACAAATGACCTTAATAGTGATTCAGGAATAGTGGCAGATACTAACAACCTGAAGAGAGGAAAAGGAGGAGGAAGATAGAAGAAAAGAAATAGGAGAAGATAAGAGAGGGAGAATGGAAAAAGGAAGGTTGAGGGAGAAAATAAAGAGAGAGACAAAAAGAAAAATAGTCAAGATTCACATAATAATATAATGTACATGGGCATAATACAAACTCAATATAGAAGGTGCATGTAATGCACAAAGGGAAGACTATCATAGTTTACTAACCACACATAGAGCACCATAGCCAACCATGTTCAATCAGTATCTTAGTCCTCTTTCATGAGTCATGAGCATCATTAGACAATGCTCTATTGTGAGCAGTCATGAGGGCATACGTTTATTTACTATACTGTACGTGTATGTTATGCAAACAATACTATCAATCTCATGCATGCTGTATGGGCATGAGCATTATTAGACAATGCTCTATTGAGAGGAGTCATGAGGGCAATCTACATTCTATGTATATATTGCAATATGTAAGAATGCTCCCTTTCTTTGTTGATATAATAGAATATACAATTAAATAAGAAATGAGATCTAGTGAATGCCAATAATCAAGTTTGATTATCCTATTCACAGCATTACATGTTTATATCCCTCACCCAAATCTGCATCCAGTGGCATGGTATTCATAACCTGCAAGTTATGTTGGTTAACTGGATAACACGTGATAAATGAAATTACAATTCTATGACATGACTTTAGTTTTGACCATACTAACGTTGCGTCATCCTCTCAATTATGACAAGGCTACTTTTACCATCACTATTATTAGTGCAGCAAATATGAGCTTGTTTTCCCAACATTATAGTAGTACATGTACTGTTTGACAACAAGTAATACAAATCATACATAGTGCATTAGGCCTTTTGTCTTGTCTCTCTTGAGAACAAAAAGTGAATCAGAGGAACATGTTTCCTTCCTCTTTCCTCCTCGTACTGTATAAAAGTAATGAGACCAT